GTGGCAGCAGCACTACTATTCTCAGTCATGGACTTCGCCCACAGTACGTCTAGTGGGAACTCTAGGAACACCGGCCCGGGGGCAGGACTGTAACTGAATCGGAGTCGACACTTGGCCCCTTAGGGTCGTGCCCCTGAGCACCTCCCAGCAACCGCAGATGCACGTAATACAGCTGGTATTATTTCCTTCACACTTTTCACCGTCGTTTGGCTCTTCACAGCTGATTTGACCTACCAGGAAGACCACCCGAGTCATCTCGAGAGGACCCTCACCAGTGCTCCCTGGTCGATATCCTGAAGGCTCCCTCTACCTTTCAGGATCATAGACGTGGCCCCGGCCAAGACCATCTAGCATCATGAAAAGGCTGTCAAAAGAATCGTTGTAGTGAGTCATGGGCTACTATTGGGACTTCGGCCATCCTAGCGTTCACGATAGCAGTGACAGCGTTCGTGAGACCAGGCCCAGCAGTCACCGCACAGACGCCCTAGGAGACAGGGAGGGGCCAACTGGGAGGAGGAGCACCAACCTACGATGTTGCCTGTCAGCCTTGCATAGGCGTCCGCCGCGAAAACAGCTGCCTTCTCATCACGTGTCTGAGAAGAGCCCTCTAAGCCCGCACGGCAAGGCACTATGACGTACATCCACGACCTTGATACCGACGGCGTTACAGCCGACCAGAATAGGGGATATATGCCCACCAGTGAGAGTAAATATATGGCCTACGCCCAGGGCACGGATCGCCAAGGCTACGAGGGTGCCTGAAAGGGAGGGGCCTCATCGAGAGGCCCAGCTGATGAGCTTGCCCCCGTGTCGATATTGCTCGGGAATGTCCTTTACTGTGTGCCACTCGGAGGGGCTAGTGGGGGCCACGTGGTTGCCGATGGTGGCCAGTCTAGAAGACATGCTGAGTTATTCACAGCTGTCTCAACCCGGTGAAGACCCAGCCCGCGACGCCTCGTTATGCACAATGACTAACGCAAGAGCAACAACACAGAGTCGAGAATGGTAATGCAAATGGACGAGTGAAATATGTCAAGGCAGGCCGCAATGGGAAAGGAACTTCACTCCAAACCTGCCGATGTTGCCGACCTCTTATCCTTTCGAATGAGAGGCCCTGATGGGCACCACTACGTGTAGTAAAGAGACCAGAAAAGATCTTACCCGACTCTAGGTCCGTCAATTTCACCACGCTGCCATCCTTAACCTTCAAATTGCCCTCTTCTGAAGAAATGAAAATCGTCAACTTCGATGAGAGGCGAGTCAGTCTTCGAGACCAAACTGGTGGTCCCACCTGGTTCCTCCTCCCCGCTGTCACAGTGGGCACCATCCTCAGCAGTGTCGATGTACTCGGGATGGTCCCTCTCCCGCACTGTCATCTCAATAGTCGTTTCCGGACTACTGTGTCTACTGCTGAAGATGAACCTGCGAGTATCCACTGCAGGGCTGCTAGCATGAGGAGTTGTACTTGAGGAAAGCAAGGTCGTAGGGGAGATACCCCCAACACCACAAGATGACCAATATCTGCGTCATGCCAAGCGTCTGAGGCGCACTATAATGACAAAAAGGGAAAGGCCGACTTACGTAGCCAACAACACTAGGGAGGAAGATAACGTGGTCGTTGACGTAGAAACCAAACATCGCCCATAGCACGTTACCTGATAGCACACAGCATGGACAAGGGATTTGGACTATGGAATGGCATCATCGTCACCTACGACCATGTTGAGAGATATGGGAAAGGGAATGGCGTCAGCGTTGCGGCTCTCAAGGACAGCACCGAGCCGAGCCAACGGGGAGGCGCTGAGAATGATGCCTTGGAGGCACATGGCGAAACCTACCAAGAAGACCCATTCGGAGCCCATTGCAGCGCTCCCTTCTGCGGAGCCCACCTACGACCCTTGTGGGTATGATAGACAACACGGTGAGTGTGAGGCAAGCAAGGCAGGTAGAAAGAAGGGCCGAATAAAGCGGTGGGGGCACAGGTGAGGACACAGTCGCTCCCTCCAAGTCGGGCAGGGACTTCGCCGAGGATCGCCGACCCCCCGAACTGCGGACTGACCTGAACATAGTCCATTGCAGCGAACAACGACGTCCATTGAGGACCGCACCGCTCCCCTTCCTCATCAACAGTCCCAGATGATGGTGGTGGAGTTGCGGCAGCTGCTATCCATCTGGCTGCTGCCATCCACAATGCCTGGGTCGTAAGGCCAAAGAGGTTGGTGGCCCATATGGGTGGGGAGTTTACCGATACACCATAGGAGATGGATATGAGGCAAAGGAAGGCCTAAGGGCAGTAGCAAGGGCAATGCTCAGCGATGTAGTACCTGGCTGAGCAGGAAAGGCATGGGGAGATTGGACGCATCTCGAGCCTTGAATGCCTGGACCACGCTACCGATAG